AAAATGCGAATCCCAGGATACTCTTGAGTAAAATCTGACATCCTGTTTTTTTACCTTGGTATCTTTGGTTCAGCAGAATCTGATTTACTAGTTCAACAATTTAGATGTTTACACACAACATTATGCACTTTTTTTTTCTTTTGTGTATGCATGTTTTTATATAACTATTCTTCTCCATCAGTTATTTTATTTTCAGTCTATTGTCAAATACTAATGTGAAGACTAATGGGGAAAGGCTTTAGTTTCCACAGATGTACTTAACATTTGGTATGCTAGAACAATGTTAAAGTGCACTTTCAACTCTGAAATTGAGAGTGCCTGTGCCAATAGATTGCACCATTTACCTACACTGATTTCAAAACAACTGGGTTAAATTGCATTACTTTGTTGACGCTGGATGTTAATCTGTCAGGTTCTGAATCCATGCATTCTGTTTTGTCATCTCTCAGAAAGTAGATGGGGTAATATCTGCAAAAGAAACAATGCTGCTTACTCTACACCAGACTTCTCTTTTAACTGAACTTACTAGTTTATTCAGTTGAGCAGTTTTTCCTCTTTGTGCGTTATAACCTAAATGTATTCAAGGATGAATCCCAAAGTAATGCTGCTTCCCCTGCTGCCATCTCTCAGGGGTTCCCTTGTAGGAGCAGGTTTGTTCATCCTCTTAGCGGGAGGTTGTTTCTTTATATTTTAAATACTTATCTGGTGGTTAAGGTAGGCTGGAGATGGCTGCTATCAGATACTGAGTTGTTTGAGTTTTTTCAGAATATTTTCAAGGTTATGAAGTATTCTTGAAATTCTTCACAAACAATGAACTTTCATCTCTGCTGAGAAATAAGATAATGCATAGAAATTAGGGTTTGTCCAGTGCCACACTGTAACAAGGATAAGGAACTTGGGATAAGCATGTCTGTGATTTTTCTTCTCAGCGTGTAGTACTCTTTTTATTGAGTACTATTGAGTATTGTCTTTAATATCTACTGCATCTGTTGTTTATATTTTAAGTAATAATCATGTAGTATTGTTTCCAATCCAATTTCAAGCAGCTACTTGAGCACCCAGTAAACTCAGTTTGAAATCAAAGGTTTGAAACCTGAGTAAAAACTAAACTGTAGTTTCATATGACTGCACTGTAGATTACAGTTTCTTGGTATTAACCTATATTTATCTTATATCTTTATATTAAACAGTTTTTTGTTCTCAAGGGAAATGTATGCAAATGGATTAGAAATGGCACCTTTTTTAAGTAAGCTGGTTTGGACATAAAGAAAAAGAAACACAGAGCCATGATTTACCAGTGTATTTTCTCAAATTCAATGAGAGTAATCTAAACACCAGCTGACTAGATTAAACTCCTGCAGTCTTCCCAACTGCTTTTCCTCCTATAGCAGTGTAAGATGGGACAGGGTCAGTGCCTTATTCTTCTGGTCTTTTGCAAGCATGCTGTGGTTTGGTGTTGGGTTTTTCTGCATAGCAGATTAGAAGTTACGGATAGTACTGGGCAATGAATAAAAATCTTACACTTTTTTTTTTTTCTGCACATGCACTGTCTTCAAAACACAAACTTTCAATGTAACTTTCAGTGGCAAGTCTAAATTATTTACTAATATGTTTGGTGATGTAAGGGTTTTTTTAAAGTATTGTAACTGTGAAACTGATTATTTTTTTTTTTTAAGTTTATTTGTTAGATGTAATTGCATCACAAATGCCACTCAGAATCACATTTAAGGAATGTGCAATTTACAATTCTGTTTTTTGAACACTGTATGGACCTCCATTCTCAGTAATAACATTTGCATGCTAGCTTTGAGATCTCTTCTTCATAATGCTAGGCTATGCAAAGAAATAATATTCCTTTAGGCCATAATTTCCTCCCTCTTGGTCATAACATGAGTTCAGAATGTCTGTATATAGGCTCAGATGGACATTTGACTCTTAAGACAGTGTACCTTGACCAAAAAGCCTGTATTAATTGAAGAAGAAAGGTTTGTCTAGATTTCAGTTAGCTGGTAGGCTGCAGTTTAGATCATGTTTAGAGTTTTGTTTTCTTTGAGGTAACATTCAAACCAAGTGCAGACAGCTGGCTGCTTTTCATCCTGGTATTCTGTTGTGTATTCTGCTCATTACTAGGCAGGTTGTGTAGTGTGGAGTGTAGGTACAAAGCTCTGGTGGGGAATGCATTCTTAGTTGCCTGCTTAGATTGCAGTGTTCATATATTCAGCTGATAAGGCTTTTTGGCTTGTATAATTTCGCAAATTTATCCTGCAAATTTTACAAATACAAAGGGAGTCTAGTCTCCATATAATCAGCAGGAGAGAAATTGAGGTTGTGATTCATTACCAGCCCAGATGTCGTAAATGAGAGGGGAACAGTTGAAACCTTTTTTGAGAACTAGTATTTGTTTTATGAAAATGTGTAGGATAGAAAGCAAATCAAGTTGAAGAAATACTTCAAGAAGGTATAATACTGAAGTACTCACCTGTAGCTGTAAACAGGGGAAAAGGTAAATGATTGTAAGATTTGTGCTGTTACATGAAGTGTTATGTGTTGATTTTTGTTGCAGTGAGGAGGACATGTATCGTGATGCAGAGGAAATAGAGAGAGAGAAAATACTACTTTGTGAGACAAGCTCTTCAGGTACATTCAAACTTGTTTTAAACAGCGTTAGAATTCATTGCAGCACTAGTTTGTGATTATTTTACACCCTTGTTTCCAAAGATTTTTGTGCACAGATGTTTCTATGTGCAATAGAACTTATTTATAGTGACTGAATACATTGTACAGTTTAATTTACAAAAAGATCAATTTTATGTAAAACTTCCTGCTCTTAATATATTTTTTCTCTGTGTTTCTGTAGTTACTTTGCAAGAGAATGTGAATCCTTTGGAAAGCAGTCATAGAGCCTGTGTTATGAGCATTGTGCTTGAAAATTACTGACTGATAGTCCTTTCAACAACATCTCTTGCTGGGATTCCTTGATAACCATATTACTATCTATTTTGGAATGAAGGCTGTTGGGATTCCAAGATGAAGTGATATTTCTTCTTCCTACCGCCATTTCTAGTGTGTTCCTAAAGATCAATTATCTTTTTTCCTTATAGTCTAGCTGCTGAGAGAAGAAGAGAAACTTCAGCTAAACATTTTTCTGATAGCTAAATAATGAAGAGTACTAATTTGTACTCTGCCAATTGTTATTTTTCAGAAGAGAGGAGCAGAGTGTTCTGTTTTATTTGACTGCACCATTATTTTTGATCATTTGTCATCAGAGCAAGCTGGGTTTTTTCCCCTCCAATATTAATTACTACCTAGTAGCTATCAGTTGTGCTACCAGTCTGCTTTGGCACCAGTGTTACATTGATAGAGTGTATTTAGAAATTCAGTGGGTTTGTTATGTCTTTCTGTTTCACAGTTCTCAATATAATGTTACATATTTTATTTTGACAGAATATAAACTAAGTGTTGCACCTGAAATGGACATCATGGAGTATTGCAGAAAAGAATGGAGAGGAGACACACCAGTAGCAAAAAGAATGAGAAAGGTGTCAGTTCCCTTCTTGTTGAATTTCGTTGGGCTTTTATTTCATTGTTATGTTTAGGTGATTTCCTATGGGAACAATCTTTAAATCAGGAAATAAAATGGCAGTGTTTTCCAGTGGCTGGTTGTAGAAGTGGCTGATGACTGGAAGATGGTTTTGTTTGTACTTGTTCAGTGTGTGTTTGGTTTTTTTTTGTAAGGCTACTTGTTGATAGTGTAAGGTTTTGGATAATACTGCTCTTCATTACTGCTTTTAATTAAAAGTTTTAAATTTGGCTTATTACCATTAAATGTTAATCTTGTGGGCAGTTGAACTGGCAGAGCAGATAACCAAACTTTTTGATAAGAAGGTAAGTAACTTAAGTGGGTGAATTGCATGATTTTTAAGATGGACAGCTTTAATGAACAGGCTCAGTTTTTCTTAAACTTTTCCAGAATTATTTTTTGTATGTTTTGGACTAGCTTTCTTAGATTAATCTTGAGATAGAGTTGTACAAAATAAAGCGTAAGGTTCGTTGGGTGGGGGTTTTTTGTTGTTTGGGGTTTTTTTTTAACACAATTTGAAAATTCAGTGCAATGTGTGAGTAAACCTAAAAAATACTTTCCACAAATAAAATACTGATGTGCCACCTTCAAGACATTAGTAAGAGACATACAGATGCACAGGATATTGGATCTTCCTAGGTTAGCTGAAGAGATGTACTGAGCTTCAGAAGTTTCATGTTTCAACATTGCTGCTTCTGCTAAAAGTATGTTTAGGAACAGCAGGGAGGGGACAAATATGCTGAGGCATGTGTCAAGATATTTCAGTGTAAACACAACTTTTCCCAGAGGCAAAAACAAACTACATGTGACACGTATTGGGTAAATGGAATGAACTGTTGCTGAAATTTCTTGTAAGCAGGATATATTTTTAGATTTACAGTCCTGTGTTTGTATGTCTGTATGTTTGGAATTTTTTTTTAGTGGGTTAGCTACCCACATTTCAGTGATATTTCTGCTCTGTCATCAAATAAATGCCACGTGCAATTATCTACATGTATGTTTTTAGTTTTTTGTTTGTTATTCAGCAGAACTAGGGAAATTTTTTCAAAGCCTAATTTGTGACATAAAAGCATTTGAACTCCCAAATGGGTAGTGGATCAAGTATTTTTTTTCAATAGCATTACCATTTGGATGCTAATATTCCAGTACAATTTCTGATACGAGTGCATGACCTTAAATTGTTTCATTAATATTTTCATGTTATTCGGTTTTTATGTTTTTCTAGGGATATGAAGCAGTTGCTCAGAAGTTTGCATCTATAAGGAGGGTACGAGGTGATAACTATTGTGCTCTCAGAGCAACTCTGTTCCAGGCACTAAGCCAAGCTACCAAGTTACCAAGCTGGATGGAGATTGAGGATTTTACTATGGTATGTGTCAAACTCTGATCTTCTGACAGGGGAGGGATGTTGGTTCTAACCTATTGGATAATTTTATGATCTCATTTCTCTATTATGCTATATGCTTACTTCTCAATATTCCTTGAATTAAGCAATGGTAATATACAGTTTTCATGCCAGTTCACAGTGATTCTTTCACCTCAGAATCGAGTCCAGGTCCCTTTAGTTCCCAGTTTATAATATATAAATGTTACTGTAATGTAACTTGCCAGTCTCCATCTTGCTTTCTTGGTTTCTTCTTAATGTAGGTAATAGGGCAGCAAGAGGTTTCCCATAAGACAGCTGGTAGTAACAAAAAATACAGAGAACTTATTTTTAGTGCATTAAAAAAAAACAGCTTTTAAAATAAATTAACATATATGTTCTTGTGTGCCTTATATACTTTCTCTAGAAAGCAGCCTGACAAATTGGATGCTGCAGGCTTTTCAGAATGTATGTGTAACCTGTGTTTTAAATGTTAATTAAAGTAAGGGTGTCAGAGCAGCTCCAACCTATTCTGATATGAATAACAGACATTCCTTATGGAGCATTGAGGGATAAGCAAAGCAAGGTATCTTACTAAGAGAAGAAGAAAAATACTTCAGAAAATATCTCAGGCCAACAAAATCTTTTAGGTGATATAAGTGAACGTGGAAGAAACAGGTAAGAAGCTGCCTGCATAAGTGGCCTACTTCAGGAGAGTAAGCTTCCAGTTGTCCCAGATATTACTGGAAAGGTAAATGATGAATGTCTGATGCTAACTCTGTGCTGTAGGCTGGCAGTCCAGGTAGAGTCATTCTGCTCTTACTGCCTTTCTGTATAACTTTAATGCCATCTTAAAATTTCTCATTGTGCAAACTTTAACAAATGGAATACTTAGGTAAACATAGTTATAAAACTGCTATTTTTTTCCTACTGATTTATTGGGGAAATGTGTTACATGGTAATTAACATTTTCTAAGAAGATGTACAGTTTACTTAATAAAACACACTAACTAAAATGAAGAACCGTTAACGTGTTGAGGCATAGGACATGTAAGAGAGTGGTAACAGCAAGCCATACAATTTCAACAAAGTTGGAGTATTTTTAATTTGAAATAAATGAAAACCTATGCTTACGTGCACATCTCTAGTTGCAGGAATTACAGCCATATATCATTCGATTATTTAGTTCTGTATGTTAAATTAGCACAGATTGCCAGGCTGGAGTTAGGGAAGTTCTGTGTTTATCGGATAAATAAAAACTTGGTTGCCATTAAAGAGAACATATTACTGCTTTGGAGTCCTGATAAAATGAAAATTGTCTGGTAATGGCTGATGGGATATGTGCTGCTTTAGCCAAATGTTTAATTGAATGTCAGACAGAAGTGACTTTTCCAGTTCTAGTGATAAAATTGGTTAATAAATGAGAGTAGAAAGCTGGGCATGGAACTGCTACAGTGTCCTTCAAGAGACATGTCAAGGCTGAGCAGGCATAGCATGTGAGCAGTAAAAGAGGCAGTTCTGAAGGCAGAAGCATCCACTAACCCTCAGGTTGCTTTATTCTTTTTCAGAAAACCAGTCCCATAGCATTTTAATTGTTTTCTCTGAGAAGAAAATACAGTTTGTGTGCTCTGAACTAAGTAGTTTGCACTCCACCAAGACTTCTGATTTATCTGATGGATGCCATCATATCTTTAACCACCTCTTCTGTTGTTTCAGGGACACGTTTCAGAGGCACTTATCTGCTGCTGGAGGGGTTTTTTTAATTAAAAGAAAAAAAGCCATTATTAGTTTTTTCCATTGTGAATGTATTGGTTAGATCAGGGCACAGAAAATAGACCAGTATTCTGACTGTTATTCAGCAACTTTTATTGAGAGCCAGTTGTTTTCAATTACAGTCGTGTTTTCAATCACTATATCTGTTCAGAAGAACATACGAGGGATCATTTTAAGGTGCAAAATGTAACAAAACAAAACCCCAACAACAAGAAAATCAATACAATTACAATGTGCAAGGCAGTGGCTTTTCAAGATTTTCAACTTCAGCTGTTTTCTCTCCACTTTCAGCTTCCTGAAAAATTAATAAGCAAATATAACTGGATCCAACAATGGCAGCTCAAACAGAAACTGGGCAGGAAGATGGGAGAAATAAGTGATGAAATTAAAGAATATTTAATCCTTCTAAGGAAAAAGGTTGGAAAAGTATTTGTTTATTCTTGTTCACTTGCAAATAAGAAAAAATGTCACATTTTTGAAGATGGTGAATTTAGCATAAAGATGCTTTCACTGTATACTATGGATAAATGCTGTTGTTACTTCGAACAGGTCATGGAAAGAAAAACCCAGAATAATGCTGAAATAATTTCAGAGGAGTTGTTTCATGCTTGTACGTTGTTTTAGGTTAACAGGAAAGTGGTTATGCTCTTTCAGTGTTGGTAGTATTATTACTTGGCCCCATCTTTCTCCCCCTTGAAACTCTGGAACGTATTTAAAAACTCTTTGGTCATTTCTGTCTGTGTATGCATATTCCCTCTTTTCTGAAGCCTTCTTAAGAATATTTTAAAGGCTGCACTCAAGCAGTTTCTGTGAGTGGTAATGAAATATACATTCTGAATAAATTAAATGTGAAGAATATGAAGGATGTAGGATTTATGACACAGGAAGCAAGAGGGTTATTCTCTTAACTGCTTTTTGTCTCATGACAGTATTCGTTTTGCTACCTTGCAACAGTTTCCAACATGCCCTTTTCATTGCTTAAGGACTAATTTAAAGGGCATCAGACTAACTCAGCTTGAGTCCTTGCTAGGACTACAGCTGTGGAAGTGTTCTCAAGTGTTTTTAGAAAGGCACAAAGCTGTCCATAAATGCAAATCATGAGTCCCTATGCTGATAATTAATCTGACAATTCACAACTGGTTTATTATGGGTCTTGCCCATTGATGACTATTGATACATGGCATGTGTGCTGTTTTTTTGTAGTGGAAGAGTATAAGTGAAATCAAGGGTTCCATTGAGAAACAAACAGCTTGTGAAAAACTGTTTAAAAATGAAGAGGAGGAGTATAGTCTCTATGAAGCGCTGAAATTTTTGATGCTTAACACTGCCATTGAATTATACAATGATGATAAAAATGGAAGGAGAGTTCCTGTCTTCTCATGGTTACTGTTTGCACGGGATACATCTAGCAACCCTTGTCAGTTAATGCATAATCACTTGAATCATATTGGTCACAATGGAGGCCTCGAACAAGTAAGGAGAGATTGCTCTTATAGATAGTTCTATTTTCCTGTTTCGGAGATTTTGTTTTCAAGTGGTTTAAGAAGTCAGGCAACTTTTGTTTGTCTGTCTAAATGTAATGGTGTAGTGTGTGGTCTTTCATTGGGGAAAAATACTGCAGAACCTCTTGCTTGTAGTAAGAATCTGAAAAGACTTTCCTTTGAAACACTGGTTTATGTCTGGCTGCTAGTGCTTCTATTTGCTTTTTGTTTGATTAGAGAGTTCAGAGTACAGGGCGAATACCAATACAGGAGTATGGCTTTCCTACCTGATTGTGGCAGTAAGAAAGTAAGATTCTTTGTATAAAGTAGGACTGATACCCTACTATGCTGTAGAGCTCCATGTTATAGGCATGGGATCTTAGAGGTATTTGTGCAGCAAGTTAAGAATGGCTTGAATAATTAAGATAGTAAACTAGAGATGCTTGGGTGTATGTGTTATCATTTGCTTCCAATTTTTTTCTTCAAAAAGTATCATCTGATAGGTGTTAACTTATTCTTTTTGTGAGAAATATCTTGTAAAATATGCATTTAATTTTACACATAATATTTCTACTTTTTTCCAATGTAGGTGGAAATGTTTCTCCTTGCTTACACTCTGCAGTATACTATCCAGGTGTATCGACTGTATAAATACAGTACTGATGAATTCATCACACTTTATCCCAATGACCCAGAGGAGGACTGGCCTGTGGTGATTCTCATAACAGAAGATGACAGACATTATAATATTCCAGTCAGAATGTACCAAGAGACTAGGCTGTGAACAAGTTATTTTTGGCAGACAAACCTGTGCTGCTTATTGAGATTTCCAGTGCTGTTTGGAAACATGATGATGATGAAATCCACATGATAAAATCTACAACTTCAAATCCGTATTTTAGAAGTTTACATCTGAACTAAAATACCAAGTAGGTATTAGCTTAAAGACTACAAGTTTTGCAAGTATGGCCTGTGTTGGCAAAAAACCCCAAAACTTCCGCAGCCCTTCTTTTGAAGGGCTTACTTTGAATAGGAATGAAGAAACTCTAGATTTATTTCTTTAAGAAGATAGGTGAGGCTCTGCGGTAAGACATGAGCTAACCTTCTGCTTCCTGAAATAAGGAGATAATGATGAATCAAAATTTCTGGAAAAGTAAGCTGGCACCCTCACTGCTATTTTTAAGGCTGTCTAGAAGCAATTTTTACAAACCTGGGGTCTCAGGAAGCAATATAATTATTGTGCAGTTGAAATTTAATGCCTACCAATGTTTATGCTGTAAGAGAGGTGTTATTTCTGGTGCTTTGGGTTTTTTTCCTCTCATGGATATTCCTTATTTAGAAGCCAGTCATCTGTTGCACTGAAAATAAACAGCTTTTTCCTTTTAAGCCTTTTGAAAGGATCATGGCGAAGACACTTGATAACAAAAGGAGTATAAAAGTTAGTTGTTAGTAGGTCACGAATTCAAAACCTACAGAGAACTCCCTCTTCAGTTATGACAACTGGTATTGGATAACCACATGCCCCCTAACTTCCATATCTGTTCGTATGATTGTTCCTGTAACATTAATCTTTGCTGGTAGCTGCTGTGGACGACATCAGGATTTTCATTTGTCCACGGAGTGCAGGATATCGAAGAAAACTTCTGGTGCCACTTCTCTACTCTGAGGAGAAGTATCTGGGAGATTCTGTTTCTACGTAGAGATTTTCATTACGATTTAAATTGAAGGAATATAGAATATATCAGATGCTGGGAGTGCCGACATGCCTAATAAAATAATAAAACCTTTACCTTTAGTTCAAAGTGGACGTATGCCCTACAGGTGACTCAGAATACGGGAGTGAAAGTTGGCTTAAATGAAATGTTGGTCATACACAGATCACTTGGTTTCTCTTAGAAGGCCACCTTATAGTGAAGGGGTAAGATTATAAAAACTACTTTTCCTTCAGATATTCTGGAGGAAATGCAAAACTTCAAATTCTCCTGTTTTGTTCTAATTAAAATTAATTTGTTAACTTATTCACTATGTTCTAAAATGTGGTTTAGACACATCTTAATGAGATCTGTTATGTACTCAGTGTTATATTTATAATATTGTCTTTGCCTTTTGAAACAACTAGTTTGATCTGTTACTGAAAATTTCTGGGAGCTACAAGGGAGCAAAAATAAACCAATTCATCTGGCTGTATTTTGTTTCTTGTTTCGTACCGTTTCTCTCTAGCTTCCTATTTTTCAGTTTTCAGTTTGAAATCCTTGTTTAAGTTAATTATTTCTTGAAGGCAGTTAAGTGTTGTAATGTGTAAAAGAAGTAATTACCAGTTGCAAAAAAAAAAACCCCAAACTACATGTTATCCATGTAACTCTGAAGGGGAAAGAAAAATAACAACTTTTGCAACTCACTGAAGTCGGATAGAAAAATTGTTTCAGTAACTGACATAATTTAACTCTTGATGCTTTCTACTGGTCATATATTATTGTGATTAAAATGAATTTTCTTCTTTGAAAAGGACTTACTTGTCATACATGTAGAGCAGTGACTCTGAGCTGCATGTTTACTATGTTCTTAAAAATCATTTTAGCATACTTTTTGGGTATTGTGTATCGAGTGCAGGGCTCGATTCATGATCTCAGGTCCCTAACATTTAATAGTTGTGCAGCCCTTACCTCTTGCTGTCTTGTGGGCATAACTGCCATTTGCTCTCCCTGAACGCTAGCTGGCAGAATAGGGCTGAGGATGTTTGCAGATGTGCAAATGTGCTGTATGAGTGCTCCCTTTTTTGGTAAGGGTGCAAGGCGACAGGCAGCATGTTCTGGAAGCTTGCTGCTAGATGAATAATTGTCCTATGACATTGACTAATGTGCTTCATGCCTAACAGACTCAATATTTCCATTTATATATTTATTGAGAAAGAGAATGTTGACCTCTGTGAAATTGAAGGGACATGTTATTAGTTCCACAGAGTGAAATAGGGAAGGCTTAGCATGGTAAAGGCCTCTTAAGAAAGGTGGCTCTTTAGTCCATTTTCCCCAAAGCATTGATTTTCAGCACGGGTGCTGGTGAGTTGCTCTTACTTCTGTTCATGACATCTGTTCAAGTTGATGGGATGCCAAAAAATTACCTTGAGATGTATTGGGCCAGTGAAGAACAAGTCAGTACTAACAACAGATTGTTCTGTGAGGGCTGTGGGGTGAGTGCTGTGGCACACTGGGGAAGGAGTGGCACAGCAAATGGGATTGCTGGCTGTCTCTCCCAGAGGATTGTGTCCCCAGCTTGTTGGGGTTTTGTTTGTTTGTTTGGGGTTTTTTTAGGGGGGATTGTTTTTTTTTAAACACCTGCCCACCAGGGACTGTAGCAGGTAGCCTCTGCATATGCCCTTCAGCATCAAGTCTGGCAATCGTGACCAGTCAGCCCAATGGTTTTGTTGTTTGTTGAAAAGAAAAAAAGACGCCTCACTTTGTATAAAAATGTTACTCTGTAAGCTGAATGTGGAAGGTACAAGTACTTTTTTTTTCCTCTTGCCTTTCTAGAATCAGGTTATTCTACAAGTGTCAGTGACTTGCTGGGATGTGGAGAATTTAGGCATTCTCCTTGTTAGGTCACTGAGCACCTGCCCATCTTTGCTGCTACAGTAATCTCGAAACTAGTATCGCCTGTCTCAAACAGTCTTGTTGTGCTTCACAGAACAGGCAGTGGGAATATTGATTTCTGGTCTCCAGCTGACCCCGGTAGGCACTCGGGGGGTGGGGTGGCTTTGCCCAGGAGCCCCGCGGCTGCTGCTTGCCCGGCACGGAGCCCCGGCCCGGCCGCAGGGGCGGGTGTTTGCCGGCAGGTGCCACTGCAGCCCCGGGACCGCCCTTCCCAGCCCGTAGCACCTGGAAACCTTCCTTCCCGAGTCCCTGCCAGGGGATCTGCTGGCTTGTCGCCGCACCTCGGCAAGGACAACGCGCGTTTGGGATGCAGAAACACCAGTCCCGCCGAGTAGGTACAGCTTGGCTACAAGGCTTTCTCCTCTGAGATGGGGAGCTCAGAGACTGTTTACCTTATAGACTGGTGCAAAGGGATGTTAAAAGCAGTATGAGTTAAAAGTAGTAGTACAGAGGTAGGTGAAAGACATTTTGAAGTGGTAAGAGACTTGAGATCTTTTAAGTTATTATTATTTTTTTAATCTTTGAAAATCAAATTGTTCACTTGTTTATGTCTTGAATAAGAATCTGCTACCAGAGGTTGAAATATGTAGCAAGCCCTCTCTGGTTTTTGAAGTATCCAGTTTCGTAAATGTATCCATCCAAGCCTTCAGCTGATGTATTGATGCATTTGAGTCTCAAGAGTCAAAATAATTTCTGTGTGAATTAGAAGCTTAGCTGAGATGTGATTCTGAGCAGTGTTCCTAGGGGAGCATGCTCTCTTTTCGCAGACACAACGCTATGAAGTGTCAAGAACAATGTATGCTGACAAATGATGAGGTTGTATTCCCAAACTGTCCAAGAGCAAATCACATAACTTAAAAAATGTATAAATGTATTTGTTTCCAACCACATTTGCAGGTGTTCATTTTTTATTTTTGTTTTTATTATATAGGGCAAAAAATGAGTTTAGCCATAGATGTTTTATAAAGATTTAAAGTGCTTTTAGAAAAAAAGAATAAACATGATAACAATTCTCTGTCACTGCCTATACTGTTGTTTCTGAATTGCTGAAATGACAAAAATAATTTCTGGCTGAGAGGAATGTATTCAGTGTAAAATAATGCACCCATAGGCCTATGTGTGTAACTATGATAGGCTTTATCTTTAGAAATGGAACATTTGCTGGACTTCTACTCTCTTTGTGTTTCTTAGTGCTTTCTGCATCATAAGATTATTCTTTTTTAGCATAAAAGGTTAAGAGAAAAAATAAATTATACTGAGCAGGAAGGATGTACAGTCTGCAAATTCCTGAGCCATGAGAAAATGGGCTGTTTCACTCAAAGTCTTTCTAGAGCCTCCTTCCTTAAGTGTTTTTTAATTTTATTTTAAGTATTGTATAATGTTTTGGCCTTTGCTTTATAGCACAAGATCTGGGTGATTTGCTCAAGGAGTTGTTCCACAGAGCTGAAAATTAAGTGCTTGGGTGACAGCCTGCTTCTTGTCAGCTCTAGGCAGGTTCACCTCTTGCTGCCAGCAATTGGCAGGGTGTAATGAACTGCATAGAGAGAGTACTTGCATTTTTGGAAGACTATGTTCCTTCCAGCAAGCTGGCAAGCAGGAGTTAACAGCAGTTTCTGCTCTCTCACCTGAGCTTGTGTTTTGAATTTATATTGTTGAGGGGGGCAGAAGAACCAGTAATAACATTTCTTCTGTGGGGTCGTCATTGAGCTGCTTGGCTAATAGGGTTGAAAAGAAAGAGGGAAGAGGATTTTTACAATTAAAACAGTAAGAAAAAAACCCCAAACAACAAAATTCAGGGAGTTAACAGTTTATTTCCTTTGCATTAAATAGCCCTTGCACAGTGGCAAGCTGTGCTGTCTCGTGCTGTGTGTCTCAGACCCTTGTCTTCCATGCAGCCCTTCTAAGAAAGTCCACAGAAAATACCCAGCTGGAGCATCACTGGCCCCCTGCAGGTACTACCACAGGGGGCTGGCACACCATGATTATGTGCTAGCTTTTGGTATCTAATATTAATGTTACTTTTAGACTATCAAGTGGTTCCATGGTGTTCACTGATGAGCCCTCTGTAGCGCTCTCCTTGCTCAAACGTTCTGGCTTTGGTCTCATCAAACCATTCTTCCAACAAATAATCTATTTTAATTAATCAAAATAACCAAAGGCCTTTTTTAAGGTAGTAGGTAATTGGAAATATAAATTAAAAAAAATAAGTTGGAGCAATGCTTAGGACTGTTTAAAGCAAATCTGTGAG